CGCACCACCCACCGAGCAATGGTATTTTCAGTTGCCTCACATGCATGTGAAAGTTGGACACTGACTAAGATAGACCGAAGGAAAATCCACGCATGTGGACCGTGGTGCTGGCAAGGGCTATTGGGAGCACCAGGGACTGCCAAAGAACAAGCAGCTCTGACCTGGAGACGTTCAGCCAGAATGCTCCGTAGAGACCAGGAGAGCAGGACTTTGGACATGTTATCAGGGGAGACCTGTCTGCGGGGAAGCGCACCCTGCTTGGAACAGCCCTCGGGAGGTGGGTTGACACAGTGGCTGTACTGGAACAATTGTGAGGGTGGCGCAGGACCCGGTGGCCTTTTGTTCTGTGTGTGCAGGGTAGCTTTTGAGTTGCACCTAACGACCATGACACTAGTTTTGAGGGTTTTGAGCATGGGGTGTGCGAGGCGGGCTATGTGGTGACATGGTCCTGGACCGGCCGGGCTCTGGGAGTGGAGCGTGAGAGAGTACGAAGGAAGAACCTTCAGATCTGGGAACTGGCCAGGCAGAGCCGAGGGACGGGGAAGGGCTCTGTAGAGACTCTCCAATGGGCTCCTGGTTCTGCCACTCCCCGGCTGGGTGACCTTGAGTAAATCCCTAGCCTCTCTGGGCCTTTGCTTGCTTGTTTGTAAATGGGAGTGTGGAATCGATCAGGTCCGAGGAGGGCATGTGCTGACCGTGCTGTGTGCCAGTGACTATGTGACCTGCTCTCTGAGGTTTCTCCAGCACTGTGTGATCACCAGAAAGAAGGAACCCCGTAAGGATTAAACAGGCTTTGTTTTTTGCTTTTTAAAAACAGTGTTATTGACATATAGTTTTTTAAAACCGTTTGTGAATTGGGTGGTGGCTTACAGAACAGATGATCAGTTTTACATTCAACGATTTCCGCACCGTCTGTCTCACCTCGCTCCGTTCAGTCCCTTCAGTGCGCACACGCAGCACGCTCGGACCCCGCTTCCTCCCTGTGCTTCCGGTTTCCACTCCTCCTCCTTCCCGAACCCTTCTGAACGCTGGCCTTAGGTAGTTGCTGCCCTTTTGATCGCAAGTGATTGCTGATTCTAAGGTGTGCTTGACTCTTTACATTTGATAAGCCTCAAACACGAGCTTTGGAAGTGTGGGCTCACACATTCTGCCTCTGAGCTAATAAGGTGTCCTTGGGCAAGTCACGTTCCCATAACTGTAAACTGGAGATGATGGTGATGATCTACCTGGCGGGAATATAAACAGGACGAATTAAATGACTGGGCGATCCGGGTCGTCGTCTCCTGGGACACCGAGGTCAATTGGCATCACATAGTTCACAAAGACAGTGCTCTGCAGCCTGTCTGTTGAGTAGTGGCTGCGGTCCTAAAGGCTCAGAAGCTGCCATCTAATGTCCAACGATTGGCCTGTCCCCATCGGAAAGAAAGAGGAGTGAGGAAAACCGAAAGACAGGGAAACCATTGTCCAGTGGACTCCGCGGCCGTGCCAACATTGGTGTCTGCAAAGCCGAGACCAGAAGAACTAGTTGGCGCCCAGCTACCCCCACCAGCTGCTCCACATGGATCCCCTTCGAAACCGCCGGCAGAAGAGGAGAGACAGTAGAACAGATCTCAGAATTGTAAGAGACGAGGCTTCCTGGGCCCCCACGACCACCCTTCCATCTGAAACTGAGCTCACCCTCCTGTTAGAATGAGCAGCCTTTTGAGATCCCAAGGGCAGCATTTACCCAAGAAAGGATCTCAGAGGATCAGGAAAGATGGAGGACTTTTCACCTAGTTCACGATGAAAAGGTTGTTTGTTTATTTTTTTAATTTAATGAGTTAAGTGAGCTCGTGTATGTAGAGTGCTGAGCACATTGTCCGACTCTGTGAAGGGCTTGCTTTTCTGCGTCCCCTCTCATTTCTCAGTGTTCTTCCTTCTCCGGTAGTGACGTGGTTAGGCTAGAGGCCAGGCTGTTATGTGAAAATCTACATGATGCAAAAATGGGGGTGACCTCAGCAGATCGCAAATGAGAGGATGGTGGTTTCATTAGGTAACTGCCAAAGCATCCCCTGACGCAACTGCTAACCCCGGGAGCCATGACTCACCCCAGTTGACAGGTGACCTTACCTGTTACAGCCAGTGCTACCCTCACTCACTGTGGCGTTTCTTACTGCCGGACAGACATCCTCAATGTTCAACATTGTAGTATCCTTTTATTATTGTCATAAAAATACGAGATGTGGGAGCTGATAGCAATGATGACTGTGTAACCCCTCTTGAGGGGAACGGATAACAGTTGCAGGTGAACAGACACATTGGACAGTGTAAGATCTGGTAAAAAGTATAGTATAATATAATATAATATAATATAATATAATATAATATAATATAATATAATATAATAAAGGTTCCCTGGGGGGTAGGGTAGGGGTGGGAGGGAACACAGGGGAGCTGGTAGCAAAACGTTCAAGAAGAAAGAAAATGGCCTGGAACCGATGATGGTAGCAATTGTAATTATGCTTCTTCTGATTGAATTGTGGACTGTTATAATATCTGTAAGAGCTTCCAATAAAATGATAAAGAATCCAGGAAATACCTCCCAGTACGAATGAACCTGGGGGGAACGAGGGACGTCAGACAGTTGGTAAGTGAGGAGTAGGTGTGATTCTATTAGCTCATTGCGATGACACACATTTAAGAAGCATCTTCCAACGCGGGTCACATTCATGAACTCCTGTGGTCCTTACAACGGCCCCACGAGGTGGGTGCTAATCCTGTCCCCGTTTCCATGGTTGAGGAAGCCGAGGCACAGAGAAGTTAGTGATTTGCTCGGTCACACATCTCACAAATGGTATCGGGGAAAGCCAACCAATAAGAGGTGAGCCCGTGCACCATTCTCCTATCATCCCTGCTTCGCAGAACACTGAGGCTGGGACGTCTGTTTGACGTCACCACCACACAGTCTGCCCGTCGGCCATCTGGAATTGCAGTTTGATTTGGTGTGAGGCAGGGATGCAGATGTGTGTTCCTGTATGCTTAGCTGGTGGGCCCAACACCATTGTGCAAAGACCAACCGTCTGCCCAGAAGAGGCCCTAGTCATCAGCCACGTGATCTTGTCTGTGTGGATCTGTTTTGGATTCTCTCTTCTTTCCATTGGCCAGTGTTTCCACCAGCACCGTGCTGTCCTGAGGACTGTCGCTTTGTCAGGGGTCCGGAGCTCTGCTACTGAAGCGCTCGGCTTTCCTCTTCTTCTCCATGAGTAGCTTGACTGTTCCTTTGTGCTTCCGCATAAAGTTTAGGATGACTTTGTCAGTTTCCATAAGAAAGCCTCCTGGACTTTTGATTGAGACTATTGAAACTACAGATTAATTTAGAAAGAGGAAATTTCTGTACAATATTAAGGGAAGTATGAGCAGAATTGTAATTCCTAAGGAGTTACCACCTAAAGTCAACAGTTGTATCTTGTTTATTTTACTCCCCCCCCATATATATATATGTTGTTTACTTGTTCTTATTCTAGACACCAGACACACTCTTCCATAAACATTTCAGTATGTAGCTTCAGAATATAATCTCTGTAGCCCCAATTCCATTGCCCTACCCTGTGAAATTCATATTTCCCTCATTTCAGTCTCCAGCCAGGTTTCCCCCTCTGCCTTCCAAATATCGTTTGTTGCTCCGTGGTCCCTTGTTTTCCTTTCTCCCACTACAGTTGAGGGTCCTGTGTTGCTTTTGCTTGTTAGGTCTCCAGAATCTCTGAGAATGAGCCCCCCTCTCGTGGTTGAGCGACATTGACTTGGTGCGGAGATCTGTCCAGGGGTCTTGGAGGTGGTCTCACCTTCTGGATTGGCCTGACTGTCCCTTGATTGTGTTCTGTGCTTTGTTCCTTCGTCCCCTGAACCTCCGGTAAGCCGGACCTCGGCTCCTTCTGACTCCAGGAAACCTTCCTGAGCCTGCCTTCTCTGCTGGCCCATCTCAGAGGACGAGCAGGTGTGCGAAGCCAGCACAGCGCCAGGCGCGCAGCGGCAGCTCAGGCTGCGGTAGCACTCACTGTTTGCCTCTGCTTAGGCCAGTGCTGGCTCCCCAGAAATGGGCTCTCCTGGCCAGCGGCTGGGGCTCTGGCTTCGTGCTGGCTGGAGCATCCCCCCACCCCTCTCTCCTCACTGCAGACAACACAGGCAGCTCCACGTACCGGCCACCCCCTCGGACCCGGGAAGTGATGATCAATGGGCAGATGGTGAAGCTGAAGTACTGCTTCACCTGCAAGATGTTTCGGCCACCACGGACCTCACACTGCAGTGTGTGCGACAACTGTGTGGGTGAGTGGGAGCCACCAGGTGGGGCTGCGGGGTTGGGACCGCTGAGAAAGACCAGGTGGAGGGGGAGGTGGGCGGCTGAAGTATCAGAGATGGGACAGGAAGTCCCTCGGCAGCTGTGCAGGGTCTGCATCTGGCCAGAGGTGTGGGCGGCTCTGAACCCCTTCTCCCAGGCCTTAGCCTGGTCCCCAATAAGCTCATGTGTCCAGCAACCAGGGGCTGGGGCAGACATCCTCCAGATTGGTCTATACTGAGAAGAGAAGGCTTTGCCGGCCCTGGGGACAGACTCTGATCAGATCGCCAGGGTGTGGGAGGGACAAGAATCCGGGAGCAGGAGAGGTGGAGAGGTGGCAAGAATCTGACCAGGGTGGGGATCTAGGTTCCTGTCCTACGACTTGCAGCGGTTGCTGGGGAACCAGAGTCTGTCTGGTCCCCTCTCCGCGTCCTCCAGAGGCTACGTGGCTCGGATGGGGACTGTAGGTGAGCCCCAGGGAGGGTGCCCTGTGAGAAATACCACGTGCGTAGACGGGCGAGCTATACCACTGTTGACTGTGCACAGCTCCCAGGGCGGTGAGCTCAGCGTGCCTGGAGCCCGGAGCAGCGGGGAACACCCCATGACAGCAGGCCGGAGCCGGTGACTCAGGGGCCCCACCCACCCGGGAGGGCCTGAGGCCTACAACGGGCTGGTGACGGCCATCCCCACAGGAACTCTGCCCAGCAGTCTTGAGTGTGCACCCACCCCATGCCCCCACGGGACATGGCACTGCCGTGAGCTCAGCCCTCCGACTGAGCTTGGCGGTGGGCGCTGCTGTTCCGGGGTTACCATAGTGGCTGAGAGCAGAGAGCAGGACTTGGGCCCTTGGCTGTTGGTGGGGGCCCAGGGTTGTCGATCAGGTGCTTTCTGTGGGTCTTTACTGGCCACCTCCTCGGTGATAAGTCCATGTGTCAACCCACTGCTGCCCAGGCAAGAGAGGCAGATGACAGGGGCCCCCACCCAGCCTGCGTCGGAGCCGGTCTTCAGGCAGTGGCAGAGACCCGAGGAGCCTGGGAGACAGCGGGGGTCAGGCGGCCAGAACAGGGTGTGTCCAAAGAATTGAGAGCTGGCCGGTGGGCAGTGGACCGGGCGGAGGCCTGCGAGCACCTGCACTGGCTGTGGGCCGGCAGACACAGACAGACAGACATTAACCCCGGCCCCGTGCCCGCTTGCAGAACGGTTTGACCATCACTGCCCCTGGGTGGGCAACTGTGTCGGGAGACGCAACTACCGCTTCTTCTATGCGTTCATTCTCTCCCTCTCCTTCCTGACGGCCTTCATCTTCGCCTGCGTGGTCACCCACCTGACATTGCGTGAGTGAGGGGAGGGAGGGAGGAGGGGCGGTGGAGCAGGCGGCCGCGGGCACCAGGGTGTGGTCAACCACCCCCCCCCTCACCGTCCCCGCCTGAGCTGTGCCTGCCTGCCATTTCTTCCTCCCCAGGCTCTCAGGGAAGCAACTTCCTCTCCACTCTGAAGGACACGCCAGCCAGATATCCTTTGCTGACTGGTGGGCGGCCTGGTGGGAACCTGAGGCCCCATCACTGCGGCAGGTTCCCACGGGGGTCGGTGCCGCGTGCGTGCGTGTTTGTCCCCCGGAGTCCGACGCACCTGTTGCTTCTGTTCCCAGTGCTCCATGCTGGTGTAGCCAAGGGTTCCCAGAAGCACAGTCCCTGTCTCTGGGCACGGGCGTGGGGAGCCAGGCTTGGAAGCCCTACCAAGCTTCGTAGGCCATGTCATGGCTGTGATTCTGTTGCCGCCCCCCGCCACACAGCCCATGGTCGCCTCACCCTCTCCAGGATGGCTCCCATAACTCTCCTTGGGTGCAGGCGGTGAGCCTGCTGAGAACTAGTGACTGAGCCCCAGGAAGGGCGGGGTTACAGAGCAGATTTCTTTCTGGGAAGAAGCTCCCTAGGAGGCTAGGTGAGAGAGGCCAGTGTGGCCCACTCCCAGGCCCTGCCCTGCCCTGCCCGCTCAGAGCCCCGCGTGGACGGCCCTTGACTGCGCTCACCGTGCTGGAGCTGGTGATCTGCTTCTTCTCCATCTGGTCCATCCTGGGCCTCTCAGGGTTTCACACTTACCTCGTCGCCTCCAACCTGACAACCAACGAAGATGTGAGTGAGCCTCCTGGGGACGGTCCTCAGGCGGCAGGGCTGAGGGAGCCTGCAGCCCCTGGGGCATCCGGGCCCACGGACTGCTGGGGGAACCCGGGTGGAGGTGGGTGGGACGGGACAGCCAGCTGCTCCTTCCTGGCTCACCCTCCTGGGACTCTCATCCCTGGACGCGGGTGCCCAAGGCCCCTGGCAGCTTTTCTCCGCAGCCCCACCAGGGGCAGCAGCCCGTCCCCCACAGCAGGCACTCCTTGGCCATGCTACTTGTCCAGAGTGCTTCTCATCCCCGTCTGCTCCCTGGGTGGGCAACATGCCCACCGAGGCTGAGAAAACAGCTGAGCTGCTTCCTCCTTTGATGTTTGAGTGGCTCGCCCTGGGCAGGGACCGAGCCAGAGCTCACCATGTGGTGCCCTCATAGAGATCACGGCCGTGGCTCCTCTGTGCTCGGCCACGCCGCACTGCAGCCAGCAGAGATGCGACTGTCCTCAGATGCCCTCGGGAGCACCTGTAGTGCCAGGAGCCGCCCGGACAGTGGGCTCTGTGGGCCCTCCCTACCTGCCGTTGTGCAGATCCCCCCCATCAGTGAGCACCGTGTGAACACCTACTGTGTGCTCAGCCCTGGGCGCCGTGGCCACCTTCCCAAGCCATCTAGGGCATCTCTTCCAGGGGCCGCCACCAGGCAGAAAACGTAGTTTGACCATCTGCCCTCCTGGGAAACCTCACACACGTGACCATGCGTCATGTTCCCCAGGGTGACCCAGAGTAGGAGTGAGTCCGTCAGTAGCTCCCAGCATGCTCTGCTGGCTGCTGCTCTCTCGGATGTTACTAGCTGGGTGCAGGCTGGCACTGGCCCTTTCCTGCAGAGCTCAGTGCCTGTGGGAGCTGAGGACCCGGGCGAGGGCTGCCAGGGCCTCACTGAGTGCTCCCACAAAACTGCTTTTTGCCCGCATTTTGTAAATGGGGAGTGAGATTCACAGTGATGGTCTGTTGGGTTATACAGCTACCAGCGGCAGGCCCAGGGCTTGCTGCCTGGTCAGCTGGGGCCCTGTGCCCATGTACTACCCTCCCTCTCTGGTGCTGGCCAGGGGGAGGGTGGAATCCCCCCAAGTGTGCTCAGAAACCACCCCTTGAGCTTTGCTTTGTCTTCAGTCCTAGTGAGGGGCGCCTTCATCTTCCCCAGTCCTCACAGAATGGCCCGGGCTCCGCTGTGCCCCTCTGGGAGTCCACATGCCTTCCTAAGGCAGAGAAGGCCTGAGAGACCTGAGCCAGGCCTCTTCCCTGCTTGCAGATCAAAGGCTCTTGGTCCAGCAAGAGGGGCGGCGAGGCCTCCGTCAACCCCTACAGCCATAAGAGTGTTCTCACCAACTGCTGTGCTGTGCTCTGTGGCCCCCTACCTCCGAGGTAAGCAGAGAGGCCACGGTGACTGCCCTGCAAGGTGGGGGGTGGCACTGGGAGGAGGCCACGTGTCCCAGAGGGTCTGGGTATGAGTGGACCTCTCCCCACACCTCGGGCACCCTCGGTGGACAGTGTGTACAGCGCATTGGTCAGGTACGAGACTTGTGGAGATCTGTTACTTGTCACAACGCATAGGTGTTCGTTGTAGAAAAAGCTGAACACGAGATATGAACACGAGCTACTTAGATCTTACATAGAACCCTGCCCGCCAAGGTTGACCACAGGAACATGTCGCGGGCCTGGTGCCTGGCTCACCACTGCAGACCCGACACCAGGGGGAGCCCGAGGGACAGGACAGACGGCTCAGGCCTGCCTTCCCCAACTCCCCAGCACCCCTGCCGTCCTGGGAGAAACAGTAGCTGCCTTGAGTCCCAGGACACCCTTCACCCTTGCTTTAGACAGAGGGCCAGTCCGAATTCCTTGTGGCTGAAAGCCGAGGGGGACTTTCTGGACGAGCAGGGTCTTGAGCCCCTGCTGAGAGCTGCCCCCCCACCCCCCCAGCCTTCCTGGGCTGGGGCTTTCTTTGGATGGGAGTTGGGCCTTCTGCCACCCCTGGGCCGCCCCTCTGGTGCCTGGGTTGGCAGAGCCTTGATGTGCCCCCTGCTTTGTGTCTGGAAGCCTGATCGACCGGAGGGGATTTGTGCAGGCTGACGCTGTGCTGCCCTCACCCATCAGAAGCGAAGAGCCGGCCTGCGGAGCCAAGCCCGATGCCAGCATGGTAGGAGGCCATCCTTGAAGGGGGCTCCGTACTTGCCACCTGCTGGCCTGCCTGCCCTTCCACACTCACCTGCTGCCTGCCCTGTACACCTGCTGGGACCCTCCCTGTTCCATCCCAGGGAAGCCGAGCCGCCAGACTCCAGTCTTTTCGTATTTATTTCCTACCCCTGTGCGGCTTCCCAGACCATCCCATGGCTAGACCTCTGCTCCCAAACCCAGGTCCCCGCGCCTTGGGCCCCAGACCACCCCTACCACCCCCAGGTGATCCGGGGCAGGAATGATGCGAAGCAAGGGGACCAGGCCTCCCCTGGGTCCTGTGGGAGGGACGCAGAGGCACCCTCTGAGAGGAGCTGCCGGCCCTATGTGCCGCTTGGGGTGGGGCTCCTCGATCTTATCCTGATCGGTCTTGTTTCCAATGGCGGTGGCCAGGAAGACCAAGAAGGCCCAGCAGGGAGGGGAGGAGGCAGTGTGGGAACCCGTCGGCCAGCCAGGCACCCAAAGCCTCCGCTCCTTCAAATCCCTGCAGAACACTCGGGAGGGGACCCTGTCCCACCCCTCCTGCCTGGGGGCCAGGCGCAAGGGGGGGGGGTTCTCCCAGGGACCCTGGCCCACCCAGCTCACTCCCAAGTCAGGTCTGGGGGTGGGCAGGTTATACCCATGCTGGCAATACTTGAAACGGTGTATTAATGCTGGGTATTTTGCACAATTTTATAGACTTCTTTTCTAAGTCGCGGTTTTTAAATGCAAAGGGAAAAAAAGTCAGCGCGTTGCTGTCTGGGTGAGGGTTCTCCACAGGCGGGTCCGTCCGTCCCAGTGAGTGCCCGTAGGAGCCGGACCGTGAGCGTGCGTGCTTCTGGTTGCTGCGTGAGAGAGTGTGGCTGCCCCGCTTCCCCATCCCCTAGGATGTTCCCCTCCCTGTCCAGCCCCCAAGCGTCCGCAGTGGGGAGGGGAGCATGTCCCTGGGTCACTGGCGACTCCAGGGCTCTCCTGGGGCTGAGGCCCTGTTGCCCCAGCACTGCAGACAACCCGCAGCAGGGACTCTGACGCCACCCAGCCCCCAGGTTAGGCTTCCAGCTCTGACCTGCCCAGACTGGCTGCGGCAGGGTGTGGTGGGTGGGGTGATGGCAGTATGGGGAGTTGCTGTCATCCTAGGAGCCACCGGGCCCCTCCCAGCTCTGAAGATGGGGTCCCAGTTGGGGCTGGGGGCCAGGGTGTCTCTGCTGCCTGGGGGCGGCCAGCCGGAGAAGAGGAAGGAAGGAGTGGGGTCAGCCAGTGCAGGGTATACTCAGAACTCGAAGGATGTCCCGTCTGGGCCTGGAGCTGTGGTGTCTTATCAAAATAGACAGAGAATTGCCCCTCCTTTCCCCTGCAAGTGGGTGAGACCGGTGGGAAGAGACATAAGCAGGCCCCCAGATGGCGGCCTTCCTTTGCCCAGGAGCTGGTAGTCACAGGCAGAGCTGGGAAGGGGCGGCCCCGGGGCTCTTTATGGGGTGAACAGCTTGGCCCCAGCCTGCAGTGGCCTAGAAGGTGGGGGGTGGGGTGGTAAGGAGGAACGCCCGCCCACCTGCCTTTTATTTAAGCCAGTATTCTTTGTTTCTTGCCTGTAATAAATTTTTGTTTCTAAGAGTTGATTTGGTTTCGTTTGGATTTTGTTTTTCTTTGGCTGAGGTTATAGCTGGCAACCCTCTGCACTTTCTGCCCAAAGTGGGGGGGTCTCTGCGGGCAGCCTGGGGATGCGGGCAGCCCGGGGCCATGGCCAGGGCTCTCCTCTCCTGAGCGGGCAGAGGGGAGAAGGCTGCAGCCTGCCCCCGAGGCCCTGAGACCAGGTCATCCTGTTCTTTGTTCACCCCTTGACCTTCCCGTCTTGGGGGAAGAGACCCCCCAAACTCTTCCACTCTGCTGCGTCCCCTCCTGAGTCCCAGCTACTGGGCCCAGCTTTAAAAAAAACAAAAATAAAGGACAAAGGACGATGAGACCATAGATCCAGCTGGAAAACCAGAGCCCCTAGCAATCCCCCACCAACTGGGTGGCAGGGCCCATGTGGACGCTTCTAGACAGTGGCCCACCTCTCTGGTATCTTCCTCAGGAGGACACCTGTCAGGACTTTGCCATCTCCTGCACAGCCTGAGGGGAGCTAACAGGCCTCTTTGCAGAGGGTTAGCTGGTAAGACCGTATCTCCCCCGTTGGCCAGCCCTGCCTCGCCCCCCACCCACCATCTCATTCATCCTCATCGCATGCCGGTCAGCCCCACGGAGCTCACTCAGCTGTCTGGTGTGTGGTGCAGTGTGCGTGCTGGCAGTGGTAGGGCCCCCAGGGTCCCCCTGACACAGGAGGACGGAGGGGGCAGGCAAGGCTAAGAGAGCCCAGCCAGCCCCATTCTGGTCTGCAAGAGGTGCTCTCCGTGTGTAGCAGGAGGTGAAGGGTGAGGCGGAGGCTTGGGTGCTGCCCTGGTGGCATCCTGGTGTACTGGAGCCCTTGGTCACTAACACTGTTAGATCCTGGCTTCCTGTCCCTGCTGAGCTTTCTCTGACCTGCCCACTTCCTCCCCTGCTCTGCTGCCTCAGCCCCGGCCCCCGAGGGAGAGGCAGCACCTGTCCCCAAGGCCACCTCTAACCCTCTCTCTTCTCCTCCTGTGCTGTCCTGCCGGGGACCTCCAGTGTGTGAGGGGGCTTAAGGACCTCCTGAGGACCACTGCTCTCTGCCTCTCCAGGAACGGCCTGGGGGGAGCCAGGCGCCCGTCACTTCTACCTGCCTAGCCTGTGGCCTGTCTGCCACCGTCTGTGCCTACAGGGTCTGTGCCCTAGCCCGGCCCACATATGTGCTTTTTAGGGCTCCTCCCCCAGGGGGCAGGGGCTGGCCTCTTTGCCCCCACCCCACACCATGCCGGGGCGGAGGACAGACAGCCATCTGCAGCAAAAGCAGCAGCGGCATCATGCTTTGCTGACACCCTCCCTTCCCGCGCCCCTTCCCCAGATGGGAAAGAGATCAAGACTAGGAATCTTGTCTTACAGCCTGCCCAGACCCTCTCCTCCCCTCCCCTCCAAAGCAGGCACAGCTTTAATCGAGCCAAGCAGGTTTCTTCCAGAGCCCGCTGGGGTGTGGGATGTGACGCTGCCAAACAGGTCTGGTAACTGTTGGAAGCACTGCTGGCTTATCCCTGTTCCCACAGCCCCTCCACCCCCACCCCCCAGGAGTAGGGAGGCTGCTGCCCCTGGGCCCCAGCACTGAGGGCCTGAGGGCTTCACGGTGGCCCGTGTCCTCCAAGGAGCGGAGGGGACAAGCTGGCCCAGGAGGCAGCAGGGCCAGCACAGGGGGCTTGCTTACCGTGTCCTGTACCTTTTAAAACCACAATAAAGCCCCTCTTGCCGTAGCCTCACCGTCTGCTGCTACCACCTTTACTTTGGGTCTGGGGTGGGGCGGGAGTGGGTGTGCAGGAAGGCACGCAGCCCACCCTCACGTCCAGCTTTGTCCAGCTGGTTAGTGCAGCCCTGGGGGGGTCTATGAAAAAAAAAAAAGGTACAACAAAGCCAGGGGGACAGGGAAGGGTGGCCTGTGTTCTCCCCCCAAACTCCTGGAGACACCCCCATCCCCCAGACTTAGCTGATCTGTCAGCCCAGGCTGAGAGAGGTTGAACGTCAGTCTGTAACTGTCACACCCCTGAACGGAGCCCAGCCCAGGGCAGGATTCTCACGGAACCTTCTCACAGAGAGACAGACAGACCAGGCTAAAAGCTAAAATGTTGTCATTACAGCTGCCACTGACCAAGGGCTTCCCAATACCAGGCCGTTCTCTCAGCCTAACCTGTGAGGAAGGCAACATCAGCCTTTTCACCAAAGGCTTATAGGACTTCCCCAAGGTAAAGCAGTCAAGTCCAGGACTCCAGCTTGCCTTCTGCCCCTGCCCCTGTACACCCACCTGTCTGCACTACCTTCAGAATGAGTGCAGTCCATCTGTTCAGGAGGGTGGGCCTCTTAGAGGGAGAAACCACTAAATGTAGAGACCTCTGAGCCAGCAGGGGGCTGAGAGGTCCTCCACCCGGGGCTCAATATGCTGATGGGCTAACAGGCCAGAGGCAGGCAGGGACGTGCCCAAGTCCTGAAACTGGCCGGAAAGTAATCTCTAATCTCGTACTTCTCAGCACTTCTCAGCTTGACCTTATTGGTCTCCGCACATTCCAGTCTCCAGGAGCCGGGATTAGTCCGGAAGCTCGGGGATACCCTGAACTGCAGAGCCCTGGGGAGAAAATGACTCCCCTGGCTGCGTCCCTGAGAACAAGGCTGGTACCTCCTCCCAAAGACAATTGTTTGGATACTTCGACTCTGGTTCACAACCAACCCAGGAAAGAAGGTGCTGCGGCCTCATCTGGTCACCTATTTAATGAGACCGTCCCATGACAAAATGTCCTAGGGGGTTCTTTCTGGAAGCGGACCGAACCCCGCATGCTGCTATTAATCAGAGCCCTTTCTGTTCTCAGCGGAGCCAGAGAGCAGCTGATCACAGCCCTGTGTCACGACTCTCAGGTCTGTGATAACCCCAAGAAGGGCTGGTTCCCGGCCCAGATGCCTTGTGCTCTGCACAGGATGGCGAGGGGGCAAGGCAGCATGAGGAAAGCCCCTTTGGGCTCCCGGCCCAGCTCCTGCCCTACTGACTCAGGCATCTGACTGCATGGAGCTCCGAGCCCCGCCAGGGCCTGCTGCCTCCTGCCCACCTGGGCTCGCAGACGTGGGAAATGAAGGCCGGAGGCAAAGGGAGGCGCCTGAGACAGCAGGAACTGAGTCAGGATCGACAGGCCAGAGCCGGCAGGAGTTAGACAGTTCGGCTCCCAGATTTCCGTCTGCCCTTCGATGGGTTGGGGGGACAACTCTGTCCCCCTGCTCGGGCCTGTGCTGAGGGCCTGGGGCTTGTCGTTTGAACCATGAACCAGGGTCCGGCCCCCTGGTTTAAATGGTGTAGAGAAGTGTCCCTCCGTGCACATGTCCCTCCCCAGTCCCTGATCCTGCCTGCCTGCCTGCCTTCCAGCTTCCCCCCAGGGACTTGGGGAAGCCCAGTGCCAAGGAAGGTCCCTGCAGAATGTACTAGATGGTGAGGTCGGAAGGCAGGGCTGTGGGAGGGCCTCTCTCCCTGTGGATGCTCTCACCCGCTTGCCGGGGCAGGTGCTGGGCTCACAGGGAGGTCGGGTTGGGGCCCTTCCTCTAGTCAGGCTCAGCTCCGTGGCAGTGCTGTGCGCGGAGGCTCGTGAGAAAGGTGCATCTTGTTCTGTTTTGTTTTGCCCACAGAATGGGGTACCATGCACTCTGCTAAGTGCTTTCTAGTAACACACTGAATCCCCGGGAGTCTCATTTTACACCGACAGGCACTGAGGGCCAGGTTGCCGTAACGGGACCAAGGCCACAGTCTATGATTGGAGCCTAAGCACTCCAAACGCACCGAGTCTAAGCTCGTGGTCTTCCGTTAACAAACTGTGCTCACGGCGATGGAAACTGTAGAGAACATAGAAAAGTCTAAAGGGGGGAGAAAAACCCAGCATCGCACTACGTCGAGGTGCCCTCCCCCAGCGGACAGTTTACTGTTTCCCCGTCCATTGTTTCTCCCGTGAGCGCCCGTCCAGGGTGAGCGGGGCCTTGGCATGTTGGAGCCACCAGCCCCCCCCCCCCCCCCCTGCTTCCTTGGAAACCACGAAGCATCAGCCCAGGCTCGTCTCTGCGCTTCTTCCTGGGAGCAAAACTACAACAAAAGGCAGGGCTCACCGTGGGGCCCCACCGCCTGCCCTAAGATTCCTTTCAGGAGAGCAACCCCCAAGAGGAACCAGGGGCAGGCCAGGCCTGCGAGGGGGATCCACCTTCGTGGATTCGACGGCTGAAGTCCCGCCAGGGGAGCCCCACCCCAGGATCCCAGAGTCCTCTGGGAGCTCTGGCTAGGAGTTAGGAGAGTAGGCAGGGACCCACCCTCACTGGCTCAGACACCTTTAGCTGAAACATGGCCAACTCAAACCGAGGGCCTCAGATGATCAGGGACAGAAGGTGGCCAAGGGAGAAGTCTGGGTCAGAGGGAGGGCCTGACCCCGGAGCACAGACAAATGGCCGGCGGGAGGCAGCACTCAGCCGGCACTGCTGTCCCAGAACCCCAAAGGGTACATATCACCACCCTGCTCTGATCAGCTCCAGGTTGCTGGCAGTGTCCCCCACGGGACCAAAAGGGATGAGCGTCCAGGTGGCCTGCTTCCCAGGCTCTTGACAGAGGGCAGGCTGAGTCAGGCAGGAAAGTGGGCCAGCCAGGGAGCTGGGCCCCCGCCCTCCGCGAGCGCCATTGATAGATGGCAGGCAGTGTGGAGGTGGGGGGGAGTGGGGGGGAGGCCGCCTGGCATGGAGAGCCAGAGGGGAAGTCCGTAAACAAGTGGCAACAGGCCGCTGACTTGAAAGGGAAAATTGTGCAGCGATGGGGAAGGTGTCTGACCAACCTACTGGTGACTAATCACAAAGGCTGGGCTGGAGCGTCAGTGGCCGCTCGTTAAACACCTCATTAAGTGGTACCCTGAAAGCTGCCACCTCTGCACTCTGGGGATTCAGAGGGGACAGGACCCTGAGGAGGAGTGAGGGCACAGGACCATCTTCTGGCAGACTCAGGAAGAAGCCAGGCGCCCGCTTGCAAATACAGCCAGAGGCCTCCTCGGGCGAGGAGGCAAAGGGAGTGAGGGAGGAGTCTGAGCCCGTTTACTGGCTGTGTGACCCTGAACTCATCTCACCCCTTCTTGGCCTCAGTGTCCCCATCTCTAAAGTGGGAGGAATCACAGTCCCGCCCACCTGACAGAAGCCTGGTAGGGATTACATTAGCTCACGGATAGTAAGGTGCTTGGGCTTCTGCAGGGGTGGAAGTGTATCTTCAGGATTCTTCTGCGGGTGTTTCCAGGACTGAAGCAGGCAAGAAGCTGACGCCATCCTTACCTCCCCGCTGGAAGAACACTAGTTAGGAGGATCCGATTTAAAACTGGAACAGCTACCTAACATGGGCATGTAATGGCAGTCCTGAACTGAGGGGGGCAGCCAGTAGCCCCAAAGGTGCCTGTGCATGTGGGGGTCCACGCCCACATTTCTGTAGCTGACTGTCCCGATGACTCACCCCACTCTTACCTTTAAGGAAGAGCCGGAAAGGGTGTGGGGAGAAGAGAAGAGAGAGGCAGGGTCTGGTTCTGGGCCCGCCCCCTGCCCCTCCCCACGCTCCTTTGGGTCAGGCCACTCAGCCAAAAGGCAGGCAGACAGCACCAGTCCAGCATTGGTCTTGAAGAAGCCAATTAGCTCGCCGCCTGCCTGTCCGTCCCCAGAGCCATGGAGAGAGCCAGCCTGATCCAGAAGGCCAAGTTGGCCGAGCAGGCCGAGCGCTATGAGGACATGGCCGCTTTCATGAAAGGCACCGTGGAGAAGGGCGAGGAGCTGTCCTGTGAGGAGCGCAACCTGCTCTCAGTGGCCTACAAGAACGTGGTGGGTGGCCAGAGAGCGGCCTGGAGGGTCCTGTCCAGCATCGAGCAGAAGAGCAACGAGGAGGGGGCTGAAGAGAAGGGCCCTGAGGTGCAAGAGTACCGGGAGAAGGTGGAGACCGAGCTCCGGGGGGTGTGCGACACGGTGCTGGGCCTGCTGGACAGCCACCTCATCAAG